ATTCTTTGCTAATTAGTTCATTTTTAGTAGTTTTAAAATTGATACATGCACTAAAAATTGGTGCACAAATTTGGGAACATACTAAATGGTAATTTGTTCTAAGCAGTGTGCAGCTTTATTTCTTAAAGAGATAAGTTATCAAATCTATACAATGTGCATTGGATAGTAGTAATGTAAATTATCAATACTATATAATCCAGGATAACTCCAATTGAGATGATGTCCTTTCTACTACATTTAAATACCTAGATAATTTCCTATTATGAAGTCAGACTCATTGATTATAATCTTTCAAGATATGGCAAAAAGATATTAAATAAAAAGAGTTAGTAAAGCCAATGGTTCATAAGTTTCAGTGTAAGCAAAATTGTGATAACTGTTACCAGTTAAAATCAAATGTAGTCTTTACCCTCACATTCTTCCTCATCAACTAAAATTACCACTGCTGTTACTTGAGTAACCCGAAAGACCCATTTCACTCTTGATCTACTTGAAATCTATGCAGCATGAATTCTACGTCTCTGTCTTCAGGCACTTGTTTTTTGGAGAGGCCAATGTTGAGGCAAACTTGATTTTGTTTTTTCTTTATAACTAGCTACATTTCAGTTCACAAACATGTTTTAAGTGCTTACCATAGGAAGGTACTATTTTTGCTCTTGGAAATTCAAAGATGAATATGGTTATGATCCTTGCCTTCAAAGAATTTACAATCCAGTATGGTAAGCTGGCATTAGCTTCCATAATATAATACATCTTGGAACTTTTGTTGGTTTTATTAAAAAGAGATCCATTAAAACAAGCTTGAGCTAAAAGAGCATTCATTACATAGGTGTAGATTTGCAGTAGAAATCTAAAGACAGGGAACTGGGAAGGTATCAGGAAGCAGTAGAACCCAAGTGATCTTTGCTTCTTTCTAAGGGTTCTGCTGACACCTCGATTTTCACTCAGTAAAACCCACTTCAGGTTTCTGACCTCCAGAACTTTAACATAATACATTTGTGCAGTTTTGAGTTACTTTTTGGTAATTTGCTACAGTATAATAGAGAACTAATACAGAAGTTATACAACCATCTTTTAACCTAATGGTGGCAACATTCAAATTTTAGAAATGTTGAACTTATTCTCTGTCAACATGAAAAACAAAAAGGAAACTGTTAAGTAATATAACTGATATAGCATGCATTTAGCTTCTGCCATTATTTTTCAATCTAAGGTTTGTTCATTTGCTTCTTTGCTTGCTTGTTTGCATGTCTGTGAAATAATTCAACTTTTAAATTCAATTAATTATTATTATAATTAACATTTTTTATTATGAGGCAGTACAATGTTTGTTTTAGAGTCAAACATGTTTGGCTATGAATCCTGTCTCTACTATTGCCTGCCTTGTGTGACCACAGACGAATTATGTAGACTTTCTGAGCCTTACATGGAAAATGGGTTGAAAATTCAAATACCTACCTCATTATTATTTGATATTAAATTAAACAATGCATGAAAAGCATCTGGCACTTACTGATAACTCAGTAAGTGTGAAGTATCATTATCTTCCCTTTCAAAAATTCTTTTTGACTTTTGCGTTACATACTTAATTCTTTTTGACCTTTGCGTTACACAAATTTAGGTATATAAAAGATAAAATTTAAGCAGTTTTTATTGCTCACTACAATAATTTAGTTATTTTATTAAAATCATTTTTTTTGTCTGAATGAATGTTCTGCTTATCTATTTTTGTCAGACAGGAATATTCTTTGGGAAAAATTTTGAGAAAGAATATATGGGTGGTATACTTTGTAAGTCTTTGCATAGCATGAGAAAGCATTATGTTGCCTTCAATGTAAATGTTAGCTTAGCTAGGTATAGAATATTAGAAAATTTTATGTTGAATCTCTTTGTCTCTGTCTTCAGACATTTGTTTTTTGGAGAGACCAGTTTTGAGCAAACTTGATTTTGCTTTTTCCTTATAGCTAGCTTTTTTTTTTAATTGATTCCCTCAGGTAAATTTCCCCCAATATTTTCTTTGATGATTGGTTCTCAGTCTACTGCCTTTTCTTTTTCTAGAATTAATTCCTTGGGCTCTTGAGTTATACTGCCTGGCTCTACCACCTACAAATCTTTTATGTTGGGCAAGTTGCTTAAACTTTTGTGCCTCAGTTTCCTCATGTATAAAATGGAAAGCATAATAGTACTCACCTTGTGCTGTTGTTATGAGGATAAAACCTGTTATTGTATGTAAAGGATTAAAATTCTGCCTAGCAGATAAGTGTTCAACAAACATTAATTATTATCGATAGTATTTTAATCATCACGTTCTTTTAGAATTTCTAGCCTACAGATTCTCCATCGTATGTTTTAATTTTAGAATGGTGTTTTGTGTCTAAATGCCATCTTTTTGTAAATTACTAAATTGTTTGCATTTTGATAGACATCATGTTTTCTAGACTCATGGGGAATATGAAGTAGAGATTTCTGAAAAGTTGCTTCTATTTCTTGGAATAAATCTGTTTTTATTTCTCCCCAGAAGACATTTGCTGTATCTCTTCCCAATAGGTTTATTTCTTGGAATAAATCTGTTTTTATTTCTTCCTGAAAGACATTTGCTATATCTCTTCACAATAGGTCTCCTCCTTGGAACTACTAAATATTTCCATTTACCTGGTAATTTTTCTGTTTGTTCAACTTTACAGAGCCAGACATTTTGTTCAGTTGGGGAAGTTGATATGGGAATGCACAGAAATTATGTGGATTTTCTTTTCTAACTTTTAACTCTTGTCAAAGGGGAAAAGAAAATGCTTTCATTTTCTGTAGCTTTATTTAAAAACATTTTTTTAAAACTATTATAGCTTTGTAATAGTTGTATATCTTTATAAAACTATAGAGGCATACAATGTGAATTAATCAAATCAGGATCCTTCGGTAGCTTCATTTTGCTTTATTTGTGGGAGCCCCAAGTGGCTATAATGAGTACTACAAGAGTATCCTGGGAGGCAGTCACATGACAGAAAATACTGTTTTCATCAGAGATTTATTTTTTCCACAATTTTTCAATAGCTTAAAATTAGCTAAGCACCTTTCCCTGACTTTTCCCCCTGACATGACTAATCTCATGGGTGACCTTTTATGACATTGCACATCTCAGCCAGTTGTCCTATTGGTGAACATCAGCCAAAATACTTTTATTTGTCCTCCACTGGCTACCCCAAAGCACTTAATTCCCCCACTTCTGTTCAGATATTGGAATTTGGAGAGGAGGCTCAGATCCTGTTCTCTTATTTTGCAGATCAACTTTTTTGATCATAAGTGCCGAATCACAGACTAATTATGATGGCCCCCAATTTGATCCCATTTGTACTGTGCACTAGATTTTATAAGGACAATTATCTAAGTTGGGGCATCTTAAAAGCCTCCTTTCCTGTTACCCAACACTGTTAATGATTTCTTTTTTGCTATTTCCCACTATTTAAATTTCTTTGATAAATTCCTTGGGACTTAGGGAAAGAGTGTTAAATATATGTGTTCATGTTACTATCCTGAAATGGAATGGTCCTATTTTTCTTTTTTATGGGAGATCCTTACTTTCCCAAAGCACTGACATTCGTATATAATGAACCCATATTTGAAGTATGTGATTAAATATGTAATAAATCTCCTTGAAAGAGAAGTCAGTTACTTTATTTCTTATTAATGATAGGAAAGCCATTCTCTTAGATTTGTTGTTAAATTTCTGTTAAACAGATAAACCAAATCACATGAATTTTTAAAGGTGCTATTTGATAATTATATGAAAATATTCATGGTACATATTGTATCATATTAGAGACAACAAATATATAAAAGAAGATAATCTCATTTGAATATTCTAAAATATGTTTTAAAAAACAAAAGCTTAAAAACCATGAAATTCAGTACAGTTCTTCAATGAGAACAAAGTTTTTATTTAGTTCATCTTACCTTGTTAATTCTAAAAGATTTCTGTTTTGTGAATTGTGTATGAATGTTTACCCACTCAAATTTCATGTTCCATTTGTAGCAAAAAATTTTTAGATTGTTATGTTTCTGAAATTTATATTTCAAAAGGTATTTTTATTTATAAATATCATGTAATGTTGTAATATTGAATTATACTTTTTTCAAGTTATAATACTTCTGCAGAAATTCTGATATGCCCTCTAGGCTACCTAAATATACATCCAACTCTTCTAATTCCTCTGGATGAATATAGTGACCCATCTGAAGAAATTACGCCTAAACCTTTGTGCTATTTATTTTTATAGTAGCAATATGGTCTGGCTAAGAATCAAACTCTGACTTTTCTTTTAACTCCCCTTTTTATGGTCTAGGCACAACTGCCACTTCCAATAAGGGTATAATGACTGGTTCTGTCTATTCTGTATGTTTTGATCCATCTCCCTGGATGCTTCTCCTGCCCCTGGACCTCAACACTTGCCAGTCTGTACTCTCACGTCATCCAAGTAACATCTGTGCATCCATTGGTCTTGTGTCTTCTGCCTTGGGAAATTTTCCTATACCCCAAGCTTGGCTTATATTCTCTGCGTGTGCTCATCAATATTACAGTGCTTTTCATATAGTATTTTAAATGATTCTTTAAATGCCTTTCATAGCAGATAGATGAATTAAACTCATAGCACGCAAGGACTAAGTCTTCCTCAAATTTATAACTATAATGCCAAGCATAACATCAGCTCTCAAAATATATTTGTGGAATTAATCACTAAATAATGTGACTATGTTGAACATTAGCACATTAAAGAGAAATTTTTAACACTGCTATCACAAAGTTGGCAACACTAAGAATATAAGTAACTATTAGTGTGTTAAGTGTTGGGGTACTACCTGAATTAAGGCTGGTGGATAAGTAACTCTGGATTTGTTTTTTAGAAAATTTAGGAGTAATCACAAAATGTAAACATTATGCAATATTGACATTAGTTAACATTTAGCCATTACTCTATTCACACTAGGTTTTTACAGCGAATGAGATACAAAGAAGCAAGACAATTATCCAGGAAATTGGAGTGTGTGATGGGAATAGAAAACTTTGACCTAAATGACAGTAAGTATATACTTTAATCTATCTCTGATTTTCTACTGCTATAGAAAAAGAACTAGCATTCTAGTTACTTCAGAATCATTCAGCCTTCCTGACCTCCTACTTCTAGTAGAAAGTCTCCCCTTAAACAAGTGCTTGTCAATCTTGGCAGCACATTGAAATCACATGTGTGATTTTGTTCATAAAGCTGAATTTCTGAGGAGGACCAGGGCATCTATCTACTCCTCAGAAGTGTACTAGTTTCCTTATTGCTCAGAGTGAAGAGTAAATAAGTACTATTTCAAGAAATAGAGAATTGACTGTGTTATACAAAATTATAGTTATAGAAGAACAACAGGAAGAACTAGAAAAACTATATACTTTGAATGTTTGAAACATTTCAAATTTTTTACTATAGAAGAACACAAATATATGCACAAAATAAAAAAACACACATCATTAGGAATGAATTTAAAAGAAGCATTAAAAATAAAAATAAGTATAAAGCAAGGTGATATAGCTAAGAATAAACATTAAAGCATATGGATGGACTACATGGAGAAAATATCAAAGTATTATTTAGAGACATTGTTTAAAATAGTAAAAAGACTGAATGTTAATTAAGTGGCAATCACTGAAATCTGGTCAAATAAAGTGTGATACTTCCATATAATCAATACTGTTCATCCATTAAAAATTAAAATGATAGTTTTTTCTATGATACGAAACAATTGTCAAGATAAACTGTTAAGTGACAAAAGTAAGGTACAGATGATATAAAGTATGCTACTATTTGTGTTAAGAGTAGAAAAATAAATGTTCTTTGTAAATATACACTTATGTACATATATAAGCATTTGCATGTATTATATACTTAAATATGAATAAAATGTAACTGGAAAGAGTCATTAGAAATTGTGGTTTGTTCTGGGAAACAGAGTTAGACATCAGAGACTTACTTTCTATTGCTTAACTTTTTGTACAATCAAATATTTTAATTAATTAATTAATTTTTTAGACAGCCACAGAAGCTGAGATGAACATCTTTTAAATGCGCATGTATTATCTTTTTTTAAATAATAAAGTAAAATCTCTAAATTCATTCTGATACTGGAACTAAAGACCATTGGTGTAGTACATTTAGACCTTAATAAAGCCATAGCAAGGGTTCTTAACCTTTTTTTGTGCCCTCGACCCCTTTGATAATCTAGGAGAATCTTTGGACCCACTCTCTATAAGTTTTTGATGTTTTAAAAATGGATAAAATAAAATGCACAGAATTATAAGGGAAATAAAATATATTCAAATTAGTTTTAAAATATTTGACCTGGCAGTGGGTCTAATATCAGCCAAAATTTGGTAACAGAGATGAACAAAAATTATATTTTAGGAAATCTACAATAGCTCTATTGTGATATGAAAACATCTTCAATTTATTTTGGTGGAAAAATCACAGGTAATGTTAATGCTGTGTGGTTTGTTGTATAATTACAGGAAATTCTAAATTCTAGTTAAAAGTAGTGAAAATAAAGATGTGATTTATTTTCTCCCTTCCAAGCTCACAGACTACTCCTAATGTCTATTGAGGAATTCATTGAGTGTCTATGGATTCCAAATTAAGAAATTTTCTTTTTTTTTAATTTAAAAATATTAAGGAGGTACAAATGTTTTTGTTACATGAATACCTTTTATAATGCTTAAGTTGGGGCTTTTAGTGTACCCTCACCCGGATAGTGTTCATCGTACCTGTTAGGTAGGTTTTTACCCCTCCCCTCTTCCCCCCTTCACCCTTCTTCATTTCTAATGACTTTTACTTCACTTTTGCCTATGTGTGCCCATTGATTAGTTCCAAATCATTACAGAGTGTATGTGGTGTTTGTTTTTCCATTCCTGAGATGCTTCACTTAGGATAATGGTCTCCAGTTACATTCAAGTTGCTGCAAAAGACATTATTTTTATCCCTTTTTATGGCTGATAATACTCCATGGTGTATATATGTGTATATACACCACATTTTGTTAATCCACTCACGAATTGATGGGCACTTAGGTTGATTCTACGTATTTATGATTGTGAATTGTGCTGCAATAAGCATTCAAGTGCAGGTGTCTTTTTGATAAAATGACTTCTTTTCCTTTGGGTAGATACTCAGTAGTAGGATTGCTGGGTCAAATAATGTCTACATTTATTTCCTTGAGGAATCTCCATACTATTTCCCATAGAGGTTGTGCTAAATTGCAGTGCCACCAACAGGGCATAAGCATTCTCTCTACTTTCATGCTAGCATCCATTGTTTCTTGACTTTTTAGGAATGGCCATTCTGACAAGGGGAAGATGACATCTCATTGTGGTTTTAATTTGCATTCCCCTGAGGATTACTGATGTTGAGCATTTCTTCATTTTTTTTTTTGACCACTTGTCTATCTTATTTTTGAAAAATTTCTGTTCATGTCTTTTACTCACTTTTTAATGGGGTTGTTTGCTTTTCTCTTGCCAATTTGTTTGAGTTCTTTGTAGATTCTGGATTTTAATCCTTTATCAGATATATAGTTTGCAGACAACATACACTGGGGAAAGGAAGTCCTATTCAATAAATGATGATGGGAAAACTGAAAAGCTACATGCAGAAGAAGGAAACAGGACCCCTATCTCTCACCATATACAAAAATTAATTCAAGATGAATTAAATACATACATGTAAAGCATGAAACCATAAAACTTCTAGAAGAAAATGTAGGAAAAACTCTTTTAGATATCAGCTTAAGCAAAGAATTTATGACTAAGACCCCAAAGGCAAATATGGCAACAACAAAAATAAATAAATGGATATTTGGTTAAATTAAAAAGTTTCTGCACAGCAAAGGAAATAATCAACAGAGTAAACATACAATCTGCAGAATGGGAGAAAATATTCATAACCACACATCTGATAAAGAACTCTTTCTTTATAAAAATCCCCTGGGCTTAAATTCCTTTATACATAAAATAAGGCCAGGAAGAGTAACTCATGCCTGTAATCCTAGTACTTTGAGAGGCTGAGGCAAGAGGATCACTTGAGGCCAGGAGTTTGAGACCAGCCTGAGCAGAAGCAAGACCATGTCTCTGCAAAAAAATCTTTTAAAAAATTAACAGGGCATGATGGTGCATACTTGGAGGCAGGAGGATTGCTTGAGCTCAGGAGTTTGAAGTTGCAGTGAGCTATGATGACACCACTGCACCCTAGCCTGGGTAACAGAATGAGACTCTATCTCAAAAAAAAAAAAAAAAATCCTTTATATACAAAATTTAAAAATTTAATACAGACCTTTGTCATAAGGGTTTCAGATAAAGAGCTAAAAATGTTAATTTGTATTTTTCTTAATTCCAACTCATAAGTATGCTTGAAATTTATTTTCTGTTTTCTCTAAAATATCACAGACAAGGTAGCTAGAAATAATATGACCATTTAGAGTTTATACTAATGTCCCGGCCCGCGGGACCTTCTGTTACTCGCGGGGGCGAGGGGGACCGTGCCTGAAAGAGATGAGCGAGAGAGAGAAACGAGACCAAGCAAATGGTTGTCAAGGTCTGCTTTACTTAGATTTTTAGTGGGTTTTATAGGCATACAAAAACAAGGAAGTCAAAACAAAAAATAGAGTAGTGATGATGAGGCTTGGGTCTGGGTTGATTAGCCCTAATCAGTGTCTTATCGTATCTTGTTTTTGACTGATTACTCATCTCCAACCGGAACATTTGCAGTCAACACATCCTGGAGCATTCCGTGGTCAGCACGTCATGGACTGCGTTCTTCTTGGAGCTATAGCTGGAATTTTCCAGGGCGAAGTTCGTGTGTAGGACAAGTCATAGGGGAGTTGAGGGTCTTTGAGGGTCCTTGCCTCTAACATACTAACACATGAAATGAAAAATATATCAATTACTCAGTGAATCCCTTCTACATAAACATCTGTCAATATTGATTCTAACTTTTTTTATTTTTGCTAGAACTTTCTTTCCTTTCTCCACCTCACTTCAAAATCAGTGGCTAATATTTTTAACATTTTTTTTTTTTTTTACTTTTCCATTATGCACAAGACTCATCCAGTGGCTTCCCCCATGCCTCACAACATTATCACAGATGGTTACTGAAACCTAAGTCTTCATTTGATTTTATACAGCATTAACTTTTTAATCCTGGAATATGTGATTGAAAGAAATTGCTCAAGTTCCAATGCCCCTGACTTTTAAACAATCATTGTTCCTTCCTTTTGTCTCAACCACCAAAACCATTAATACTTTGTACCCTTTTTAAGTTGCAAAATGTCCACTTAAAACCCTTAATCAGTCAGAACGTTGGTAAATTATACCTTCATGCTATCCATATTGAGTACCCATTACTCCTGGACATAGCACATTAACTGACTCATTAGCTATTTCAAACCATATGGACTTGGGTTTGGGTGGGTCATTTTGATAATATCCTGAGGTGAGTTTCCTAATTATTGCAATTATGTGATCTCAATCACGAGGCCAGGTTCACAAAATAGTGTCAGTGCCTTTAGAATGGGTGTCACAGCACCCAGACAATGACTGAGATGAGCAACATGCTCTTTGGTTGTTATAAGTCCCTTGATACTCAAAAAGTAATTACTTGAAAAGTTCTGAGAAACCGCCAGAAACAGTCTGAGAATTGAGTGAGCATGGAATGCTATAACACTTGATAATCATGGATAGATTGCCTGGAATTGAAAGTGGGAAAACTTGAATGCCTCAATGTTAATGCTATGTAAACATAGGTTTCTAATGTAAATTTTGTACAATATTTAAAGCAACAATGTAGACTTTTTTTAAAAAGGTGGGGGAAGGACAGGAAAAGAGCAAGTGTAAAAATCATGTTGTCCATGAGAAATTCCATGTAGTGTCACAAAACAAATACGAAAGGTAAGAAGTTCACATGCTGAAGAGTTTGGGGATTTTGTATAAACAAAATGTGTATATATACACACATGCACCACATTTTGTTCACCCATTCAACTGTTGATGGACACCTGGGTTGCTTCTTGGCTATTGTGAATAATGCTGCTAGAACACGGGTGTATAAAGATCTGTTCAAGTCCTTGCTTTTAATTCTGAAAGGTTATCTTTAAAGCACAAAATAGTAAATGTGCATTTTCAAAGCCTGCTCTCTGCCTAGAAATTACTAACTACAAATTAAAATAAGATGTCTGCAATTAAAATGATGATCAAATTGAAAGTAAATTAGAGGAAATACCCAAAGCTTAACACCTCCTTTCATGTTTCTCTCTCCTTTCTTAGATCATAGCCAAGGATAAAAATTAAAGTCAAATATTTCTGTTTCTAGACCTTTAAGATATATATGAAAGAATTAGCACAGAGTTGCCAAGATGGGTCAGCTGGGAACAGCACCTGCATACCATTATGGAATCAGTATAAAAGCTTTGGAGTGGCGTGCTCATGCTCAAAATACAGAGGTTCACTGGGAAAAGCAAGGAAGTTTGTAAGCCATCCATTTGAATACTAATGATGAACAATAACTATCAGGTAAGGAATATTTTTGACTTTGAGGAAAAGTCCAAAGATGGGGAGACAGAATAGCAGCTCCTGAAATAAGCATATATTTAGGCTGAAATTCTGGTTGATGTGAAGGGGTCTCGAGTTTGCCAAGCACCATTCAGACATGTAAATAGCTTGAGGGTACAGTGACAAATATTTCCAATTTAGAGGTGGAAATGACAGACTTAGAAAACAGGATAAAACAGGAGTTAAAAGAAGTTTGGGGGTTTGGGGTCATTTAGTTAGAAGAATTAAAGTACTTCAGTGAAACCTCAATTAGTAGTAGGAGCCTAAAATCAGTGGATTTATTCACCAGCCTATTGAGAGGAAACTTCTATTGGCTTCAACACTTTTAAGCTTATTTTTAGTAGGAAAGAGAATTGTGGCATCGCTGATACTTTATTTTGGAATTGTTTGTCATTCTAAAATTGAACCTGCCCAACTTTATTCCTTGCCGGACAATCCACAGATCCATTTGAAGCAAATCTATTACCTCTGTTTTAAAGGCCAGATACTCTTAAGATATTTTATTTCAAGTTTTTTTATTTATTTGTTTTTTGAAACGGAGTCACACTGTCACCCCTAGTAAAGTGCACTGGTGCCATTGTAGCTCACTGCAACCTCAAATTCCTGGACTCAAGCAATCCTCCTGTCAGCCTCCCAAGTAGCTGGGACTACAGGTGTATACCACCACTCCTAGCTAATCTTTCTATTTTTTGTAGAGACAGGGTTTCACTCTTGCTCAGGCTGGTCTGGAACTCCTGACCTCAAGTGATACTCTCACCTAGGTCTCCCAGGGTGCTAGGATTACAGGCATGAGCCACCTCACCTGCCTTATTGCAAGGTTTTTATATTCTCATAAAAGACCTGACTCCCAAAACACTAAGCCTTTAAGATGTCACATAGTATTTATTTATTGATGCAAGCTGAGGATACTAAATTTAATTGGTTAGTGTTACAGCAATTTTATGAGAAAGATCAATCATTTTGGGAGCTAAGGATATCAAAAGAGATTTATATGTAAAGGAAAAATATCAGAAGCTAAATGTAAATGTGGGTGATGGACATTGCTTTCTGCATGGGTGGTTAGCTTGTATAAAAAAGACAGAAAGGCTAGATAGTAAGGCTTCTCTTCTGGGCAAAGGATACTTCATAGAGTCATTCTTTAATTGAGCCACCCTTGTCCTCAATTGCATGTAACACTGAACAAAGTATGCAATTTAGTAGAGTGGTTAAGAGCACAAGATCTGGAGTTAGACTTCTGGGTTCAAATCCTATCTCTGCTGCTTCCATACTATACAAAGTTACTTAAGCAAGTAACTACATTGCTCAGAGCCTCAGGTTCAACCACTATAAAAGTGGGAAAAGAAAGGGCATATCTCACATTTTTTTTCTTTTGTAACTATTAAATGAGTTAATTCCTACAAAGCAATTAGAAGTGGGCCTGGCATGCATTAATAGCGCCATATGCGGGAAGCCATTGCTATTGCTGTCACCGACATGGTGGTTTCCCTCTTCCATTTGACTTCTTAAGGAGAATTCAAAGGCCAATTTTAAAGAAATCTAAAACTGAAGAATCAGACAAAGGAAGAGAATCACAGGATAGAGTTCTTTTTAAATTAAATGTCTGCTACATTTTAATCATTTTTAAGTTAAATGTCTTTTATCTATAGTTGTGTTTGTTGCTCAAGGCTATTCTATGAATTTTGCAAATTCATAAGCCATGATTTATCTTACTGTTTAACTTAGATCTGATAGGCAACCAAGAACGGTGGCCTGAACTTATTTTTCAGGGACAGAATGAATCCTCAAGATGGCTTAAAGTTGTCCTTCTGTTTTGAAATGCTTTATCTTGGTATGTATTGAGGTTGGTTCAGTTTACTAGAGGAAGGATGCCAGTTGGGTGGCTTTATAGAAAAGGTAAGCTTCTGCTACACCTGACTTTGCAGATCACTGGCTCCTGTATTAGCCTTTCCAGGTAGTGCCTCCTTTATCTAACTTTTGCTCCCAAACTCCTAGTTCCTTTTCATCTAATTTATAAAGTGTACAAAGCATTCATCAGTTTGTAATGGTCCCTGTGATTTTGGTATAAATGACTACTCCTCATGCATTAAATAGTGTTCTATGAAACTATATGTAAATGAAACAAAATGTGACTCTACTGAAGGATTTTAATATTTCCACTATTACAAGTCTTCCCTCTTTCAATGTACTGTGTCTCACTTGTTCTATTACATCATGGGGGTGTACAAAGTCAAAATTGCCGACCACATTTTCCTTTATAGGAGAATAATGGAAAAATCTTTGCATTGTTGAGCTTATTGGAATGTCTGTTTCCTAAGAGCAAGTGTTGCCAGTGAGACCAATGGGATGAGGTATATAAGAGAGAGAGAAAGAGAGGGAGAGAGAGAGAAAGGGGGAAGAAGGGAGGGAGACAGTGTAGTATCCAATTTATGAAATTAATTTCTATAGCATGAAAGCATCCCATGTATTTATCCAAGGAAAGTTGATATGAATCCTGACAACTACAGATTCACAATAACTCTTCCTATGAATATACAGCTATGAAAAATAAGCAGGTTCCCAAATAGTTTGAAGTTCTCGCATGAAGCTTATCAGTATTGGCATGTACGGCATTTTAAAAGAGTAAGTATGGTTCTGCTTTATTTTTAGAATTTATTGACCTTAATGGAATAAAATATCATGTAGTAACCTTATTTTTCTTTTAGGCTGGTGTCAAAAGGGAAAATCTTTCTTTGTTGACTGCTGAAGGAATATGAATCTGTAAACTTTAGTGGTTTGTAGCTAACTCATAGCAATATAGTTTTTAAGCTTTTACTTAAATAAATAATGAGTAGTAGAGCTTTTTTGTTCAAATTAAAAGTGCCCTTGTCTTTTTAATTCTTTCTCTCCTTACTGTTCTAGCTCTGCCATCCCATCATATTCCAAAATTAAAGGAAGCAATCCAGGATACCCAGTGACTCAGCACGATAAGAAAAACGTCATCGGAGACCAGCAAGAATCCAAGGTATGATAGAAAGACCAGATGCCATTATGTCCAACCCTATGGACATGAGTAAGTTTCCACAGGTATTAAAATTACATCCAGAAAAGGTACCAGGGGTGGGTAGTGGTGAGAAGACTTGTGGAGTGAGAAAAACAGCCATGAATGATAGTATGAATGAATATATATTTAAAAGAGTCTTTTAAATGACAGAGAACTGGGTTTCTCCTACTTAACAAATGTTGTGTGATTTTGTCTGGGTCACATGTTAGTGGTGGTGATGGAGGGAAAGTGTTGGGGGATGGATTGGTCAGCCATCTATGGAAATGGGGACTGCAGAGTTGATAAAAGTTGTCAATTATAAAGTTAGTCAACTACATAAGTTAAAATTACTTTCTTGTATATCCGAGTCAAGATAAATAAATATTGACCTCTGTACAAATAGAAATATTGACAGAACTTTCTTACAAGTGTTTCCGACTAGAAAAATAATCTTGGCTCTATCTATAAAATTTATAGAGGTATTAATATGGGAGGGTGACCAAAAAGAGAATAATAGGAATGGTGACATTAATAATGGGGAAAATTTTTTTTCAGAAAAGAAATTACACTGCATTTCCATGAATATGGCCCAAATTTATAAAGAGAGAGCTTGAGAAGGGGAATTGGGCATGGCTAAACGATATAGTTTTAGAAAAATGTAACACTTCAGTAATCATCTGTCTGTCTAGCAATTTTTTAGAGGACAAAGATCACAGCCAGGGCTTTCAAATGAAGATGTGCCTAGCAAGGAAGATAGTGACTATCTGTTATTAAATAAGGCTTAAACAATCCCTTAATCTGAGGCTTTAATCTAGATAGAAAATGTCTGAATACTGCACCTGGACTTGCCAGCTATTTTTAGGATAGAGAGCAGGATAAATCATTTTTATCTTGGGACTTCTATTGATCCTAGTTTAGTGCTTTGTACTCCAGGGCTCCCAGAAAGAGGTGACACTTAAGAGCGACAAGGAGTAACATCATTTCTTGGTCTTATCCATGGTTCCTATTTACTGCATCAAAGGTCAGGAAAATGATGAAAGGAAGTAGTTTCTTCCAAAGAGCAATCCAGTAGAATAGTTTCCGGATTCTTAAAACTCTTGACAGTTATGTTAAAACACTTAGCAATTTTGACCTCTCTAGAATACCCATAGACATTCTGCAAAATGAGAGATCTAATTGCAATTCAGTTATTCAATAATTTTTAAAAAGCCAGCTGAGAAGTCTATTTGACAAATTCCTGGAGAAGCCAGAAGAGCTCTGTGGAAACTGATTAGCTATTTTCTATTTCTATTACAAATGAAATAGAGGGGGAAAAATAATAGACAAATCTCCAGATATAAAGAAAGCAACATAATTTGCATCTCCAGTTTTCTTCCACCTCAATGTCTTTGCCTATTTGGCCCACTTCCACCATTCTTCTTTGTCTTAAACCAGTTTCCTCATGTCTACCACTGGACTTAAACTCTCAGAGGTCTCTCATTTTCTTCTCTGACATTGCTAGATGGGACCATATTGTTTTGTGTCAATTCAAAAAGAAACAAGGTTTGACTTTTACAAAAGGGCTTTTCCAAACGTTTAAAGAGAAAGTTAAGTACTTCTACACTGATCAGATGTATTAACCAAAAGACAGTAGTGACATAGTTTGCAATATCTTGCCGTTTTCTTTTTTTACCAACAATCTTTTCTTATGGCCAGGTTAAATTATTCAGATTGCTATACTGAGGCAGCTGTAGACTATCTCATCTGTCATATTGAAGTTCTTAGGATTTGTTTTTTTGTTTGTTTTTGCATCAGAGTGACCACTCTGGATCTGAGTTGTGATAAACTCCTGGTCCACATTTATCTTGATCTCATTTGAGTTTTCTTTGAGTATCCAGATGAAGAAGATACATTCCTATCTGGACCTTAATGATACCTTCTGATGTTCTGAAAGAAACAATTCACACAGCATTTATCACTGTTGAACTGAATATTAGTTCAACTCTAGAGTCATTGGAGTTCCATATTTTCCTAGATTTTGAATTTCTGTCTGGTCAAGTCTGAGAATCTTTAGAGGCTAGTTATTAATATAACTAGTAACAGTGTAACTCTTATCTAAGTTAGCAACGCAGCTTAGCTTCAGAGTCATGTTTTCAGTAGGCGGTCTCAGGCATGATACCTATTCTTGTCCTGCAATGGCTAAGGACCTCTCCTATTATAAAGCTGTTGCTGCATGTTAGCTTGTCTCAGGTCTCCTGTGGCTCTCATCAGCTTCACACTGATATCAAGGTTTTGCTCATTGAATATGCACACAGATATTGCTGTTTATTTCCTCTTATAACTTTAGTTGTCCTTTCACAATCTTGCCATCATCCTAAGCTTTGCCATGAGCCAAGAAAAAATCATATTTTCTTGTTTGATGAAATTTATATTTGAAATGTCTACTAGATCTTTATAGAAATATCAAGTAGGAAAGTAAAGACTAGCTTGAAATTTACGGGATTGATCAAAATTTGTGTGACAGATTATACTTTTCAAAGATGACAACAAAAATCTCTCCAATCCTGCATATTCTTCTTTTTTGTGATCTTCACAGTACCCCCATCCAAAGGTGGGTCTACCTTGCTTCTTCTTAAATCTTAGTGGGCTTGTGACTTGCTTGTAATCAATAGCGTGGGGCTGAAAGTGATACATGACTTTGGGGGCTGTGTAAGAAAAGGCAATGCAACTTCTGCCTCATTCTTTGGAATACTCATGCTTGATACTCTGAGATACCAGGTAAGGTAGGAACAGTACTCTGAGGGTGACACTGTACACCTCCCACACTGTAGAACCTCCCGATCTATGGAATATGTGAGCTTAATAACATAGATGTTGCTTTATGCCACTAAGTTCTAGTAGTTTGCCACACATAAATGGTAACCGACCATTTTTCACTTTAATAAAAAATGGTCAGTATCCGCACTTTGGGTACAGATTGGGCAGAAGCAGATTAAACAAAGTAGACTTGGAATAGCCAGTGGGCCAGAAGGAACATGAGGAGAGTGTGGTATCATAGAGATAAAAAGAAGAGAGTTGAGCTTAGAAACGATGCATTTTTTTGTGATAAGAAGACCAAGAATATGCTTGTCAATCTCCTCCCTTCCCTCAGAGTGATTGGCTTCAGTAGAGGTAGAGAAAAAAAATTATTGTAGTTGAGAGGTCAAATGAAGGAAATGTTCAAGTACATTTTAAAATTATATTTAAAACAATTATTTAGACTCCAGATAGTTAACACTTACCACCAGTACCCACCAACCATAATTTTCCTACCTCACGTGTGATTCAAATGATAGCCAGGTGTTTCCCTTTCTCTCAAGATCTAGGTAAAATTGGCTCATAACTCCTTCCTAAAATTTCTCAGGATTTTCAGGGGCTTATGTTTTCATGGCTTCCTCCAGATTGCTGCTTCTTCATGTGCTTGAGTTATATGTGCTCAGATGTGGAAATGGACTCTTCAGTTTACACACTCACTCATACAAACTAAAATGAAAGGAAGGTAGAAGAGGAGATGAAATTACAGCAGCCCAAACAACTTAGAGTAGAACAGTAGACAATGTCATTCTTACATGTCTCTTTGTCAATCTCACAACCAATGTCCCATGATGACCTTTTACCCTATACAGCATCCAGTTTCATACCATCTCTCTGGGTGGTTGAGCTCTCTTCCCCTTTCTGTCTCACTTCTCTTCTCCCACTCTTGGAAAACTCAAGGAAATCTAAATTGTTTCTTAATTCTACAGAGCAATTTTTTTTCAAGATTTTCAGCAGATAAAATTCACTTCCATAGCAGTTGTTGTAGTTAGGAGCAGACACAGAAAAGAAACTATGCTCTTACTTTTGACTCATACTTAGTAGTTTTTCCTAGGATTTTAGGCACTCTACTCAAGAAGGTTTCATTTGTTTTCTTAGTTAGCTAGAGCTGCTATAACAAAATATCATAGATGGGGTGGCTTTATAAACAATAGAGATCTATTCCTCAAATTTATTCAGTTTTGGAGACTGGGAAGTCCATGATCAAGGCACTGGCAGATTTATTGTCTGATGAAGACCCACTTCCTGGTGCATAGATGGTTGACTTTTTACTGTGTTCTTACATGGCAGAAAGAGGAAGGGATCTCTCTAGGGCCTCTTTCATAAGGGCACTAATCCCACTCATTAGGGCTCTACCCTTATAACCTGATCACCTCCCACAGATGTAGGATAGTTCTCTAGGTGGTTTTGGATCAATTCAGTTCTCTGCCCTTTCTCAATTGTAGTTCTCAAAAATAACTGTAGAATGTGCTGGAAATCCAAAATTCTGAGATTAGGTGGAGCTACTGGAACAGCCTAGGCTCTGTTCCAGCTTTCCTTCACCCCCTGAATAGGATGTCAATGCTTTAGCCTAACATCTCAAGCGACATTGGGGGATAAAACCCAGGATAGGCTTCTTTCTGGGGTTCTTTCAGCTGCTGTGCAAGTAGGACATGCACAATTAAGACTTCATTCACCCCAGATAGCTTTCCTTCACCTTGGGAAACTAGCTCACCATGAACCCTAGGCTTCTGTTGTCCCTTGCTGCCTATCTGTAAGTAATAAATCTGCTTCATGTAACTTGTGGTTGTGTGGGGGTGTTCTGTCTCACCTGACTTGGAGAAATTGGTAACCAGTACACAGCAAACCTGCTTCACAAATACCATACATTGGTGTTAGTATTTAACATATGAATTTTGGGGAGACTCAAGCATTCAGTCTATAGCATATGTGTTCTGACATTTATACATTTGAAAATATCTCTATACTTGCTTTCATGAATAGGATAACTTGACTGTGTTTAAAATTCTTTAAGTACCATCATTTTGTTTACAACTCTGGGGTTGACAGTCCTTTTTTTCTTTTCTTTGGTGTCATAGAGAAGCATCTTAGAGGCCCTATAAACATGTTGCCTTGCGTGGCAAAAAGGACTTTGCAGATGTGATGACATTAAGTGTCTTGAGATGGGAATACTATCCTGAATTATCCAGGTGGGTGCCATGTAATCACAAAGGTCTTCATAAGAGGGAGGCAGGAGAGTCAGAGTCAGAGAGAAAAACCGGAACAAGCTACACTGTGGGCTTCGAGGATGGAGAATGGGGCCATAAGCCAAGGAATGCAGGGGGCCTCTAGAAGCTAAGAAAGTCAAAGAAATGAATTCTTCCCTAGACCTCTAGAAGGAGCACAGCCTTGCTGGCATCTTGATTTTAGAATTAGTGACCTCTATTAGACTGTAAGAAAATTAATTTATATTGTATAAGCCTCTAAATTTGTGGTAATTTGTTAAGCAGCAATAGGAAATTAATAATGCTATCTTTAGTTTCATAGGTAAAAATATCCTCTTTAATTTGTATTTAGATTTATAATATGAATAGAAAATTTCCTACAATGTTTTTCTGTTTATTGTAGTAAATTTATTTTTAAAAGAAGGCACTTATGGTTTTTCAATGAAGTAAAATAGTCTAAACTATAAGATCTTTCCTTGAGTCTGGTAGTTTTTCTCAGTTTGCTCATTCACAGATAGCTATCTATGCTTTCCTAGTCTTGTTTTATAGCCAAATAGAAATGGGCATGGTTTCTGTTAATTTGATAAAATTTCCTACTAGAATATATCCTGTATAGATTAATTGCTCAATGGAAAAGGTCACAACATAATAATGTAATTTTGATATCTTCCCAAATCTGAAAGTTTCTGAAATAATTATTTACTCTGTCACAGAAATAAAGTTTCTCCCATCCAATGTGAGTACAGATAATCTAGTTGCTTCCCAAATAACTACTGAGGATTCTAGGTAAGGGCTTTCGAATTTTAGTAAGTATTAGCCACCTCTTGCTATGAATCATTCCCTACTCAGTAGCTACGATAATTTAAAAATATAGATAGTATCATGTCATTTCCTTATTTAAGGCAGAGTGGTTGCTCATTTCACTTAGGAAAAAGACAAACATATTTAAACTTACAAATTTCAGCACAATCTACCCTCTGCCTACCTTTTCAGGCTCATCTGTTGCTATCATCTCTCACTATTGTTGCTTTGGAACCTTTAACACACTAAGTTGCTTTGCCAGCTCAGGACCTTTGCATATGGGTCCCTTTCCCCCTGAAATGTTCTTCCTTGTCAAGTGTGCTTCCTGACAACTTTCCATCTTCCAGGTCTCATCTTAAATATTACTCCCTCAAAGGTGTCCCATGGTATTGGTATTGGTATTGGTTTGCCAATACCAATGTAATTATTACAGCTTCTCATAGAATCCTATAATTTTTCTCAGTGATTATTCAACACCTGTCCCTTCCACATCCTATCAGTTTTAAGAAGGCAGAGACTGTGTCTTTTATTACATTCTATCTCCTCAAACTCAAGAAATATATGAAAGAGTGAATGAATCAGAATTGGTATTTTTGGCTTCTTTGCGGGGATTTCTGGCCATCCTATCTCACTCTCTGTCCCATTCTATTTTGTTCTTCATTCCTCAAGGCAGGGCAAAAGGAGGGCTGACACCAGATTGTAGACATTTTTTTTAACTTCATTTATCTATTCAAACTATTTATTAAACAGCTATGCCATAGGCCCTATTCTAAATACTTGGTGGTTCTCTCTTGGTGTGAAGAACAATCTCAATTGTGCCAACTGGTTGCTCCATGAGGCCTTTTAGGCCCATGAATGGTCTGAATGTTTTGGTCAATAAAAGTGAGGTTACGATCCTGATGACACAATGCCTAGGTATTCTTTTCAGCCTTAATACTTTAAAATTTCAAGGTAGTATAAATTGGCAAGTGCTTTCTCCACTGTGTTATGGGCACATTGCTTTTATTTAAAAAGGATGTTTTACATTGGTACTACACATCTTTAAATACAATTTTATCTAGGCTGGGTGCAGTGGTTCATTCCCATAATCCCAGCACTTTGGGAGGCTGAGACAGGAGGATCATTTAAGACCAGCAGTTTGAGACCAGCCTGGGCAACACAGCAAGACCCCATCTCTACAAAAAAATTTTTTTTAAATTAGCTGGTGACACTGCACTCAAGCCTGGGCAACAGAACAAGACCCTGTCTCTAAAAAATAAACAAAAAAATGCAAATCTATCTACTAATTTTAACAGAAGTACCTCAAATTTTCTTACATATGGCCAGTATTCATCTTTACTTCCTGTTGCTAATATATTTTTATCATATTATTTTTGATATATAAAATTTTATATATAAAATATTTTAAGTATTTTATTTGTTATATTTTTCTCTATCCCCTTCAAAAATATTATATTGGACATTTCAATGGGTATTTGGAAGCAGGGAGATAAAAACCTGCTCTTATCATTACATTAACCAGAAACTTTTCAATGATTTCTTCACCAAACTATGTTCCCCTTACTCTCTGTCTTGTCTTTTGTCCTTTATTACATTATTTTTTGTTATGGGTAAGAATTACAATCCAGAAAATTATTATGTATATTAAAGACTTAAGAATATCCATATAACATGAAATATCCTGTAATAGAGTGTCCAGATAGCTTCAAAGGAAGATTTCATGACTCCAGTAACATTTGAATTTCATAGTTGATTGAGTGGCCTTGTAAAATAATCAGCACTGTCATGAATACTCCTCAGTGTTGAGTCACTCCAATACATTGGCATTTGGATGTTCATCACCCTTATCAAAACAATTCAGCATTGCTAACTTTATATCTAGGAAAAAGGATTTTTGTAGCTTTCTCCAAAACTTGGAAAAAGAAAAGAGAGAAAGATCCATGAGGTATGAAAGAGCACCAGAATTCTTCTATTTTATACGTGAATTCAGGTGGCATCAGGTGAAACCCAACCACATATGTGTGGAAATATAAAATACTAAGATGTGGATAATATTCAAGTATAAAATGAGATTGCTGTGCTAAAAACACCATCTTTAAATTAAAGTTGTTCTTTTGAACTGTATAATTGGGAAATAATCCTAGAAGAAAGAACGTCCATTGCTTGTTATGATTGTTATCCATTAGAAAGACTTCGTAAGAATGGCCTGAAAGAATCTTCTTAAATGTCCTTGAATAGCAGTAATTTTTTCTTATATGCCTAAGACAGCTAAATAAAGCACAGTATTTCCAGAACTGAGACCAGTGGTCCCAATTATATTATTTTCTTTTTTTTTTTTTTTTTTTTTGAGACAGAGTCTCACTTTGTTGTCCGGGCTAGAGTGAGTGCCGTGGCCTCAGCCTAGCTCACAGCAACCTCAAACTCCTGGGCTCGAGTGATCCTTCTGCCTCAGCCTCCCGAGTAGCTGGGACTACAGGCATGCGCCACCATGCCCGGCTAATTTTTTATATATATATATCAGTTGGCCAATTAATTTCTTTCTATTTATAGTAGAGACGGGGTCTCGCTCAGGCTGGTTTTGAACTCCTGACCTCGAGCAATCCGCCCGCCTCGGCCTCCCAAGAGCTAGGATTACAGGCGTGAGCCACAGCGCCCGGCCCAGATCTCTTCTAAAAATAAATGTGGTGAACAAGGTGGGCAGATCATCATTTCATTTTATAGTGATAACACACATGCATTTTTCTTTGTTGTAGTGGTAAAAAAATGTCTGAGATCTAACATAAAATATTAATCTACTCCTGCATTTTCTATTCCATGTCTTAAGATAATCCAATATAATCAGTATCAAAATGGTGTATACCTTCCACACCCTTTTCTATGCTCATACAAACAAAATTTATATAAAGAGAAAGAATATGTGAAACTAGCCAAGACAGTACCAAAAAACTTAAATGTATTATAAAATTATTATAATCAAAAGAATATAGTATTGGCTAAAGAATAGACCTTTCACATAAATACCACTATTTATTCTATGTGGATACCACACAGGAGCAGTTAGTGTTAGCCTCTTGCTGAAGTTTCTAGAAATTCTCCATTGTCTATAGTACTAATGCCCACTAGAACTTTGTATACTCACAGAAATATAACCTACCCTGTCTAATATAGTAGCCACAAGCTCCATGTGGCTAAAGAGTACTTGAAACATGACTCACACAACTGAGGAAATGAATTTTTAATTTTGCTTAATTTTAATTAACTTAAATGTAAATGATCACAGGTGGTTTGTAACTACTATACTAGATAGCAAAGGTTTATAATGTCAAGGCCAACCTCCTTATTAAGCACTTAAGATCTCCACAATTTTAGCTGAAACAACTTGAGCTCAAGGTCTGCAGGGCTTGAGAATAAAAACAGAAGACTCTGTTAGAATCTATTTATCTTGAGGGGGTAGTTGGGGGCAATGGAAAGGTGGGGTGCAGGGGACAAATAATTTTTTACTCTTGTTCTATAGACATTTGCTTATGTACAACAGAACACTTAAAGAAGAAAAGTTGTTTGAGGAAGATACAGAAACCAAATTTCTCATATTTGAAATGAGTTATTTTAAAAAGTGTGAGCCAATACCTTCCTATTCAAGGGTATTCCCAGGATTAAGAAAATGGAGGAAATGTTACCAAAAACTTGGCACTTATCCTGAATGTGAGGACAAGTGGTTTGAGGAGAAGGAAAGAGAAGTTTATTAATTTGCTGGCAAAGGAGGAAGTTGACATGCTGCCATCTTAAAGTACCAATGTCCTATCTCTGAACAGGAATACAGAGCTTCTAAAGGGAAGGTTTTTAGCTTCAAGCTATTGCTGTTCAACTATAGTTGATGGCTCTGCTTCATCCCATCTTTAGTCAAGACAATCTCGTGATCTCTGCCAGACAATTCCCTTGAGCCATTTCGTGTGGTACAAAGAATGCAGGACACTTCCCTGTCCCTCTTGACCACTGGTCTGAGGCAGAGATGCAGGTTTTAATTCCCAAAAAACAGTGGGGGAGGTTTTAGAGAGTCAAAAAATATTTCTACCCCTTTTCTGGCCATTCTCCTGTTACAGCAATACACTCATATCTGAAGGGATATTGACTCCATTAGATGCTTTACCATCTTCTCCTCATTTGAACCTTACAATACTTCTGTA